ACTTCCGCCCGACCCTTAAATCCCTTGAACGAATCTACACATTGCTTGCAGAATAAAAGTGGCTTCCAAGGTCGAGGCGGACTTAGATGAAGAACACCTTTAAGGATTCGATGTCCTCATGAGCGCTTTCTTCTTTCGGGCTTGAGAACACGGCTTTCTCTTCGCCGGTTCTGCCGCCGTTGCTTAGAATGACGTCGACTCTCGCCACCCCCCTCAATCATTTAGCGCAAATGACCTCGCAATGTCAGGATTGAAACGACGTAAGTGATGGTGGAAGGGTTCGAACTCAGGACCTGAGTGGCGGTGCCTAGATCTGAGATTAAAAGACTACGGAGATGTATCAGTTGTTCCGGTGGAATTACGAGAGTTCGGCTTAGAGGTTTAGGATTTATGATCAGCTTTTCCGGGATAAGACATGCACTCTGGGTTGATACTTGAAGAATACAGGTGCTGCCCAGGAGAAGTGCTGGTCAGGCCTAGTGCATACCATTGGATGTATGGATGCTGAACCGTCCGCCACGGCGCCACCTCGGCGCCAATGTTGCATCCTATAGTTTGGGGTGATTCCCCCATGTACCCAACCCTAAACCCTAAACTCCTAAAGCTAAACCCGTGTGGGTTGGGGCTGGCTGGCTAATTCAGGAATGAATCTGGAGACTGCGAGTTTCGGGTACGCTGAATCTTCGCCTTCGTAGCTGTTCTGAAGGTTGACTATTCCTCCCGCCACCCTGCCTAATTACCAGACGTGCCATCATTCCTGTTTACTTTTGCTACAGCTCTTCGGTTTGTGTGTGTGTGCGCATATACCAGGTAGATGTCTTGCAAAGTTAGGGTGTTGCATTGCTATCGTCTGAATGCTGCCGCCATTTCTGCCTCCCTCCTCGTCCTTCTGCTGTATCTCGATATTCTGACGGTCTTGTCAGGCATGGTGGTTGCGGAAAACACGGTAAACATGCCGCGACAAGTACTAGCTCCGAGTATGTTGGCATCGTTGACCTGTAATGTCGAAGAAGATGGCTCTATGGCGACTACGACAACCGTGGATCACAGTATGTTATATATAGTAGGTCATACATTATCGTTCATTGGTTTGCATTGTAATATCTAACGGTAGGCTTCTACGACAACCGTGCTGCCATGATGTTGCGTGCGTCTTGAAGCCGCCGTCTTCTGGAGTGTCAGTGGCTTTAGCACTTTGGGTTTTAGGTGTTAGGTTTTCTAGGTTTTTAGGGTCTAGGGGGGGCTTTAGCATTTAGGGTTTTGGGTGTCGGGCGCCCAGGGTTCGCATCGAAACTTGGGACTGCCCTTGTACTAAAGGTTTAGGTTCAGGGTTTACTAACGGAAGCAGCTACAAGGCCTCGGCAGACTCAACTCCAAACCCAAGCTTTTTCTAAGAAATTGAAACCTTAAGCATCCTTCAGCCCGGCTTCAAGCCCAAACCCGAAGCCCCTCACCCTGAATCCTAGACCGTCTAGACCGCTAACCCGTACCTCTTCACTCCAAAACCTCAGATGCGGGCAGGTTGATCTTTCCATGCACGTCCCCCGAGGCCAAAAGCCCAACGCCTGGCCACAAACTTCGTGAATGAGCTGAAAGACTTCAACATGCCGGGTTTAGGGCTAAGAGGGTTTATAGGGTTTAAGGCTGTTAAGGCTTTAGGGCCAGAAAGGCCTGCAGGGTTTAGGGCATATTATTCCTTTAGCTCAAAACCTCCGTGTAGACACACCATCCATCCCAAGCTTTGACACGCAGGAAGTCCCCAGCACCAAAACTTGCAGCGATGAGAGACGGAAGCCTAAGTCTCCACGGGTTGATATGTGGAGCTTCTAGTTGTGGAGGGGGCCGGAAACACGAAGCGTTGTCAGCATGTATGTATGTATGTATGTATGTATGTATGTGTATATGTATATATAAACACATACACATGTGCATATATATATATATATGCATTTCAATACACATAATTATGCATGCATACATGCATGCATGCATACATACATACACACACACACACATATATATATATACATACATACACATAGTGTAGACTACATATCATATGCATGTTTCCGATTAACAAGATATGGAACCCTTAGGGCTGGAATTTTGATTCAATTAACTACTTACACATGCCCCTATATTACCGACATGATCCCGCGGGAGCTTGGGCTACGGGGTCTGTTCGCCTGCAAGGGGCGTTTGTTGGAAAAGGCTTCACAGCAGCGGCCAGCTTCAGTCATGGACCGTAACTCACGATCATGCAAGTTAATGTCACCGGCATCTCCATAACAATTCATTCCGAGACTTCAAACCGCAAGGAGGATCGAATGGCCGTCAGAAGGAGGCTTTGGAGTAATGTAGGAGCCTAAATTGCTAGAATAAAGCTTTTCAGTAGACTATACTATGGAGTTTCCTTGTATGCGAACTACAAACAACATTATTAAGCCCCCGTTTAAAGTCCCTTGAAGCACCAGCCTCGGGAAACGGCGACGTCCACCACCGGGACGCTGTGTCCTTGAAGAGTCTGCTCTGTGAAACCTGGGCTTACCAGGGAACTTCCAAGATTGGCTTTTGGGGTGTTGTTTGGGGTTTGGGTGTCGGGTTTAGTGGTTTGGGGCTTTTGTGGTTCAAAGTTGGAGTTTGGTGTTGAGCATCTGCGCTCAGTGAACTGTTCAAGTGTTGAGTGGAGTACCAACACGCCGATGAGCTGTCGTAATGCGCCTTGACACGGAAGCCACAACAAGAAGTGCTAATGTCATGAATGATGAGATGTCACACCACTAGTACCACCCCTATACCAGTACTATCACCACTAGTAACTACGGCGACTGCGACTTCCACGACAACGGCGACGACGGCCGCATGGCTTTGCCATGGCTGATGCAGGTATCTAGCAAGTTTTCATGATGATGTTGGTTAGAGCAACGACGTGATGGTAGCGATGCCCTTGCGCATTCTTAGAATTCTTGAGATGCTTTCCGGTTCACTAAAAAACCCGCCCATCATAAACCGTTGTCATGATCATGGCTGGTACAGTCTGTACAGTTGCCCTGATATCTGCTGTCGCTGGCATCACTGTTGTCGCTGCTTCTATCACGTGTCAGACGTATCATCAGCATCATGCTGCCGAAGGGACCCTCTAGGTCGAACACGCGCACCTTGGCAGCCGGGTTTGGTCTGCAAAGTGTGGGAGTTGGGTTAAAGGGTTTCCTTGATTCTTTCATGCGGTTTTGGTCGAAGATGAAGGTTTTGAGTCCAAAGATTTTCGTTGCTCCATACCGGGTGAACTTCCAGTGCTTCGGGATGCTTGGTGGCAGGTCTGGGGCATGATGTAAACGCTACAGATACGAACCACTACCTCCCAGTTGCAGTGATACTGTTGGTGCTTGAATATCGGAACCGGCATGCTCGAAGCTGCTTCACCGATATCATCACCCCTGGCCTGGCCTTCCAAGGACGATTCAAATCGATTCCCTATCTTTTTGGGCCGCCCTCTCCCCCCCCCCGCTGGGATCCTACCACCACCCACCGTCTGCCTCTAACCACCGTTTGCCCAAAATCCGAAGCTCTCCGAAACAGCCTTCAAAGGAAGTATATTACATGATATCATTGGCAAGCTCTTCTTATGCAAACTGCCAGTTTCCCCGAATTTCTTGTAATCACATTAGGTCATTAGGGGCCTGTATACCCCTTTTTTAGCCTGAATGCCGAAGCCCCAGCAGCCCTCAGCCTCCACACCGTAAACTCCAAGTGAGCGAAGCGGCGAAACCATCTTCTGCCCCTGTGGCCAGGAAGCCCGCACTCAGAACGTCCTTCGTCGACAAAGCTTTGAGGGCTTTGAGGGGCTTTTGGGGCCACTGTTGGGCCGTGGCTGTCTGTCACAAAGCGAGCAAAGCGTCATGTTGATTCGTCTCACTACACTCACAACTACGCCCAGCAGGGTCCAACATCACTTTTTCCCGGCATGACGCAAGTGTCGCAGCTGCCTTCGCGATCGTTCGGGCGGCTGGACAGGTCCATCATTTGGATCCGAAGAGGTAGTTCTTGATAGATTTGTATCCGGCGTGGGCTGCGGTGAAAGGCATCTTGGCCACCGCTGCGATCTTCTTCCCAGCCTGTTTGGTGCAAAACTTCTGGATGTTGCCCAGTATAAAGAAGGTGCAAAGCTCATGGAAGTCCCGGCCAGCCGAGCAGAACATCCTAGCGAGATCTTCGTTCTTGTGCGTGCATGCCAGATCTCCGTTTGGGCCGGTTCGGCACTTCGGCGAATCCTCCATACTGCTGAGCATTCCGCCCTCCTTGCTGTTCTCGTCATAGGTCTTCCATGAACCTGAAGGTGGTGCTGCGCGGATTCATCTTGACCGACATCGCCAAGGCTCCCGCATCGGTGAAGTACTCGCCGTACCAGCCCATTGCATGGTACAACCATTCTCGGGTGATGACAGCAAGCCTTCTTGGAGCAGCAAAGGTGCCAAAGGATCGGAGGTCACGTTCGTCAAATTCAGAGCCTCCGTGTCAGTCGTGGTGGTCGCCTCCGTCGTGGTCTCCATGGTCTCCATCCTCGGCTGATCGGCGACCCGATGCCCGTCGGCCTCGAATGCCAGCGAGGCAATGAGGAGCAAACGCCGGACACGCATGACAATGAAATACACCAAAAATAGACAGACATCCCGCTGTGATGCTGAGGGCGCGAACTTCGCTTCGAATGGATATGCTTCGGCACAGATTTGGTTTTTTGGGGACAGCTGGTTTCATAGTCACCAGAGGAGGAAGAAAGTCGAATAGCTACATTCGCAGGAACGGTCTAAATAAGAACAAGAACAACAAAACCGCTAAATGATCGTAAACCAGAAGCAAAACCAAGACTAATCGAACTATGCACAATCGAAAATCATCAGCCAGTGCGTACTAAACCAACGACACCTCGAACACTTCTCAAACTGAGCACCTGTCCCGGAAGAGTAGTCATTTCCTGAACGCTCAACGAGACAAGAGCTGTCCTCGCCCGTATCAGCGCAACCAGGGACGTGGCAGGACCTTGATTAACAAAAACTCTAGGTTTTGGTGTGCAAGGTGTGTGTGATGTACGACGCTTTTTGTGGGGTTCTGGATCTGTCGGCTTAGGTGGGTAGCTCTTGCCCACCAAGCCACATCAAGCCTACACAAGCCTACAACAACCCACTCCAAACGAAAGCACGAAACCCCTAAACTGAGCTTTAAACCATGACTCTGCGTGAATGCAAGGGCGTTTCTCACGCCCTTCTCTCACCGAAAACCGAGGACGGGGCCGAAGGGGTAACAGCCTGACTGTTTCAAAGGTTCAGGGGGTTGGGGTATAAAATATACTGTAATATATTATCATATACTATAATATACTATGATCGATATATACATATATATATATATGTATACACATACATATACACACTCATAATTTACTAACAATATACTAATAATATACTATAGAATAGACTATAAAATATACTCTCTCTCTCTCTATATATATATCTGGAGTTTCTGTATATATAATATATAATATATATTTGGTATATAATAAACAATAAGCATACTCTGGAGGTTCTCTAGGGTTCAGTGATTTTATCGGGGTTTCGTGGAAACTGGCAGTTGGGGCTGACCACGCTTCAGGCTTTGGGCTGGGAGTGCCCCCCACAAGCAAAAGACCCTAAGCTATATAAACCCCAAAGCCCCGAAGCCCTAAACCATCCTCGAACCCGAAAATCTCTGAAGCGCCAAGTCGATTCGCAGCCCTGAAGAAAGAACCGCGCAGCGTAGGAAAGCGACAACTGAAGGCCTGTGAGGGTTGGCGAAGCGCTTGAGCACCGTGAAGTTCGTGATGGTCCTGAGTGGACGCTAGCCCCGATTGGTGCATGTGGGCAAGTCTCCTGTCGTTCCCTGTGCGCCGATGGGCTCGTGGACTCTCTTCGTCGCGTGCCGCTCACCCGAATTAGCCAAGGTTCTTGTTTGCCTGGAGGATGCAGACTGTGTTGTCCTGCAGGAATTGCTGAGGGTCATGGCTCAAGCAGTGGATTCGGGACTATGGAGGCTCCTGGCTGGGATCCCAGAAGCCGGGAGTCTTACGGACTCTCAAACAAAGTGTGGGAAAGCCGTGGCCCCGAACCCGACAGCAGGGATTGGCGCAAAATGCTTTCCGAACAAATCCTCTGTTCAGCCGTTCAGCCTGCATAATATAAGTCTTTCGCGAACTCAGGCTGCCCAAGCGTCAAGCAACGGGAGCAGCCGAAAAAAACCCCTGAAGCAAGGTACAGCAATCCTACACAACCTCAAGCCCACAAAACGAAAACCCTAAACCCTAAAAACACTGCTTGCCCTCGTCGGGTCCATGGCATTGTTTTGGGCCATGCAATTGGCTGCTAGCAAGGGCGGGGCATCCGCACAAGGCGCCAGCGTCAAACAGGTCAGGGCGGTGTTCCCAATCTGTTGGCTCTCGAGCCTGCCCAAGAGGTACGGTTTAGGCATTTAGGGCTGTATGTGTACCGGATTTTGGGGCCAACAGCGGTTTCTTGTTTTGCCGATAAATACTAGTAACGAACAACAAATCCTCAGCGCCAAACCCAAAAAGTCCCCAAGAGCCCATGCCCGCCTCTCGAGCCCCTGTGGGGTCACATCGAAGGCATGGATGCGACCACGGCTCGTTCCCACCAGCAGGCGCTTGCCTTCGGATGCGACTTTAGGCTGACGTCGAGGGCATTGAGGTGTGCACAAGCTCTCTTATCGCGACGGATACAGTAATACAAGAACTCCTTGCCGCAAGCGAATGCTGTGATTCCGATGATTTGCTTGCAAACTACCAGGTGCCGGCACATGGCGCTACATGCATCGTTCTGTTATTCTTGTCATTAGGCCATGGCTTGCCATGAGCTTTGACCTATTTACAAAACTTGTTGCATGGATCCATGACCTGAACATCTTTGAATTCTTTCACCCTCTCCGACTCGAGTGGGATGCCGAGGACTGACCCGTGCTTGAGCTTCGGGTGGGTTTTCGGGTGTCCAGGCAAGGTGGCACACTCGTGCGATGCAAACGACGACTACCGAAACTTCTCTCAGCCTTGGCTGGCACTTTGCTCTCAACAAATCCGCACACGGAGCCTTGCGCCTTCATGCTTCCGCCTCTAAACACCCAGCGCCGAACTGTCAACCACGATAGGAAAAAGTCGAGGATGCGTCTCTGCATGTCACACCCGAAATTAGAGCCAAGCGGTTAGAGCTTCAGTCGTAGACCGACACTCCAAAAGTCCAACATCCGAATACAACCCTACAACCCACAGTGAGCGAGGCTGGCACCATCGCTCACGAGCACCATCGACCGCGCATAGTGGTCAAGCCTAACCTGCACTCAACTTCGCCCCAACTTATAGGACTTTCTGACACGGAGATACAAGGAGATTCAGGCCTTGCTTTTCTTGGGAGGGCTTGGGATCCACACCGTCATATGGGACCCACTGAGATTGAATTGTTGAAACAGTCGGCAAGCCCCTGGTACTATCCGGTTTCGGCTCCACCTATCTCCGCTTCATAGCTTGCGGTCTCGAGATTACTGCAAAACAGTTCCATGAATGGTGCAACCGGTGAACCAAACACTGCCAAACTCCGCAACGGAGAACCGCAGAAAGTTGGAACATGGGATGAGGATGATTAGGACTAATGATTAGTGCTGGGATTCCCTGTGCTTTGTAAAGGAACATGAGAATAATCATGTTCCAACTTTACACCCTCATAAACCCCCTAACCCCCTAAAAACTATTAACCTCGAAACCCAGAAAAGACCGCGGCGAAGAGCCTTCTGCTGCTTCACGCTGGAACCACGGAGCCTCGGGTTGCCATATAAAAAGATAGTAGAATATGGTATACTAGGAGTATGTTATAGTCATACTGTAGCATACTATCGTATATTACTATGATGTAGTATGAGCTTTTGGGATCCAACTTGGGTTCTCGATAACCACCTTAGCTCAGGCTTTTGCACAGTGCCTCAGGCTGAGTTGTGTGCCTTTCCTTGAAAGCATGAAAAAGGGGTGACACTTGCACTTCAAGGTGCATGTGCTACCCGAGACTACTCCGGAGAAAACATTATGCTGTATGATGACCCGAACGATTTCGCATCTCCGGAGCCGCCCAACAAAACGCTAACGCATGTTATGTAAAGGCAAAGGGCTGGAGCACAGCATTGGCGTTGGCCGTGATGAATGCGCCGGCAGGTTTCGGCAAGCTCACCACGCACACGACCTGGAGACTGAGTACGGCAAGAATCGAATCTGCGACAGTGCAGAAGTCACCATGGAATGCCTTAATTTTGAAGGTTCAAGCATCAACAGTACGGGTCATCCTTGAATTTAGGATTTAGGGCCGCCCTGCCCCCCCCCCCCTCTCCCTCAAAGAACGTGTCTTGTCGGAGTGCTGTTGCATGAGCAGCAAAGTCAAACCCGGCGGCGAACCGTCTTCCAACTCGGTAGCTGTGCTGATTTTCAGATTCGGGATGTGTTGCCACATATTGCATACAACGGAGGAGTGAAGACGGATGAGCAACTATGACCCCCAAACGAAATGCACTACGTCCCTGCTTTTCTTGCGCAGGGGATGGCGCATGATAGCCACTGTAGCTCTAAAAAACGCGAAAAAACTCGAACAGCTGAGCAGTACGAGTGACCCAGGCTGTGTCTTCGATGGTCATGTTCTCCAAGAACTCTCCCTGCTGGATGCTGAAGACCCGGACGGTGCGGTCCTTGGCGAGCTTGACCCCCGAACTATGCGTCCTTTGGAGCATCCCTTTCAACCCGCATCGCAGCAAAGGCACAGAGGAACTCGTAACAACATGGTCGCCACCGGCTCCAAAACACATGGACCTGGGAACGGTCGAAACCAAAGTCAGCAGATGCTTTCATGCAAAATGGCAGTCGATCATGGCGATAAGAGGCTCTGATGAAGAGCACGGACCTCCCAACTGAACAGTCTGCCATGTCAGGTCGAGGCTGTGTGAAAACTCCAGGGGACCGGCATGATCGCCTTGGCGTGGGCGGGGCGCTGCGCCACCACCTGGACCGCAGCCGACTTCTGTTGTGGAGGCTCACCCTCCGACTTTGCCGGGACGGCACTCACCCTCGGGTTTAGGGTTCTTTCATAGACGAGGGTTTGCCAAGTGCTGGTGTCCTCAGCAGAGCTGCTTTAACAGGTCATCATCTTCTGAACATAACGAGAAGTCTGCGTCAGGATCCTTCAGTCCCCTTCCACTGGTTGAGGGTTTAGGGTTTCCAAACCCTGATAACAACCACCAGGCTCTACAAGTTCTCGCGGGGGGGGGGGGGGGGGGGGG